TTTTTCTTCTCGAATCAGTTTCAGAAGTTTGTGTCATTCTAAGAATTTTGTTCACTTCATCTAGATAAAATTTGTTGCCATACAGTTGTTCATCGTATTCTTTTATAGTCTTTTTATTTCTGCAATGTTGGTAGTCATGTCCCTTCTTCAGATAAGTGTTTTGTTGTTTTTGTTTTGTTTTTGAGACGGGGTCTCACTTTGTCACCCAGGTTGGAGTGCAGTGGCGCAATCTCGGCTCCCTATAGCCTTGACCTCCTGAGCACAAGTGACCTTCCCACCTTACCCCGCTAGTAGCTGGGACTACAGGTGCTCACTACCACACTCAACTAATTTTTTTGTTTTTTGTTTTTTTGTAGAGACAAGGATTTACCATGTTTCCCAAGGCTGTTTTTGAACTCCTGAACTCAAGTGATCCTCCAGCCTCAGCCTCTCAAAGTGCTAGGATTACAGGCATTAGCCACTGTGTCTGGCCCGTTTAATTTTAAAGAATAAAAGCTCATTGCCACCATTAAAGATTCTGTGAGGCCAAGCATGGTGGCTCATGCCTGTAATCGTAGTACTTTGGGAGACTGAGGTGGGTGGCTCACCTGAGGTCAGGAGTTCAAGACCAGCCTGGCCAAGATGGTGAAACCCCATCTCTACTAAAAATACAAAAATTAGCTTGATGTAATGGCGGGTGCCTGTAATCCCAGCTACTCGGGAGGCTGGGGCAGGAGAATTGCTTGAGTCTGGGAGGTAGAGGTTGCAGTGAGCCGAGATTGTGCCATTGTACTTCAGCCTGGGTGACAAGAGCAAAACACCATCTCAAAAAAAAAAAAAAAAAAAAAGATGCCATGAAAAATTGTAGGGCCAGACTCAGTGGCTCCTTCCTGTAATTTTAGCAGTTTGGGAGACCAAGATAGGCAGATTGCTTGAGCCCAGGAGGTTAAGACCAGTCTAGGCAATGTAGTAAAATGCTGTCTTTAATAAAAGTACAAAAAATAGCCAAGTGTGGTGGCACATTCCTGTAGTCCCAGCTTCTAGGAAGGCTGCGGTAGGAGAATCACCTGAGCTTGGAAAGTTGAGGCTGCAGGGAGACACGAATGGGCCACTGCACTACAGCCTAGGTGATGGGAGCGGCACTCTGTCTCAAATAAATAAATAAATGAATAAATAGATAGAAATATAAACATAGAAACAATTTTTTTTAAGAGACAGAGTCTTGCTCTGTTGCCCAGGCTGGAGTGCAGTGGCACAATCACAGCTCACTGCAGCCTCAAACTTAGGGGCTCAAGTGGTCTTCTTGCCTCAGCCTTTGAAGTAGCTTGGATTGTAGACATGAGCCCCTGTGCATGGCCATATTTTAAAAAATAATTTAGTAAAATGGGCCTGACGGAATCTTAAGTGAAAAGGGCAAGATATAAAAGTCTAGTTACAGTTTTTATCATTGTAATTGTTGTGAGAGTTCTTTATCTATTCTAAATAGTAGACCTTTGTCAACTATATGTTTTGCAGATATTTTTTCCCATTGTGTGGGTTGTCTTTTCACCTACTTGATAGAGTCCTTTGATTCCACTTCTGTGTTTAAGGTTAACTATTTATTGATTTAAATAGCCTTTGCACCTTGATTAAAAGTGTCACCTCATGAAATTCTGTTGACTTTTTGGTATGAAATAATGACTTGTGAATTCCAATGTACCTTTGAATATGCACCTGTGTTTTCCTTTGCTCTTTCCCTTAAGTAAGGAGGAAAGTATATGTCAGTTATTTTTCCCAGAAATAAATAGAAAAGAAAGAAGTTGACAAATTTACTGTTTTCCCTCTGCAACAGAATGCATTAGTAAATACAATGTATTCCAAAAATAAAAAGGATTGTTTTGTCAGTTATATTCAATTACACTGAATACCAGCTGTCTTTATGATGTGCTGATATTTTACATTTTCCTGAAGAAATAAGAAGGCCATTCTGTTTTGGGGG